GATTGAGGTAGTAGACAAATTTGTTTACCTGGGCAGCTGTATCACTCCCGGTGGTCTCACGAGAGATGAAATTTCCATCCGGATTGGGAAGGCCAGAGCAGCTTTTGCGAACCTACGTCACCTGTGGCGTAGGCGTGATATCAGCTTCTCTGTCAAGGGTCGAGTTTACAATGCTGCGATGCGCTCCATATTGGTATATGGATCAGAAACCTGGCCGCTGCGCACCGAGGACGTCAACAGACTTTCAGTGTTTGACCATGGGTGTCTTCGGAGCGTTGCTCGAATCTGGTGAGAACACCGGATCATCGATGCTGAAGTACGTCGAATGGTATTAGGGGGAAATAACTCACCCTCGATAGATGAACTGATCACGCTTCATGGGTTGCGCTGGCTTGGCCACGTGCTACGTATGCCAGTCGATCGACTTCCTCAAAGGGCGCTTTTCGCACAACCAAGTGAAGAGTGGAAGAGAGCCAGAGGCGGCCAAACAATGACTTGGCAGCGAAGTATGAAAGCTATTACCAGCAAACTCAGCTGCGCTGGTAACTGTCGTCTTCCTGGATGGAGACTCCGAGACGGGCCACATCAATGGCTAGGGATATTGTCATGGACCAGTCGCCCCCTCAATGGAGCTCATGCATCAAAGCTACTTCCTCCAATGCATAGCTCCTTTTCCAACCCTCCCCACTTGACAGCCCACTGACAGTGCTGGATTTATGCACCAATTTATCAGCTCCCGCCTCCAATGCGCAGCTACATACCCCCCCCAAATCATCGGTGAACGAAACTGCGTCAGCTACAACCACTGTACGACGAGTACGCAGTTACTACAGCTGGCAATGATGATGATGATTGTCATCATCATCATGTAGTGAGCAGAATTACCTGAACAACCGGAAAATCACTGGAATTACTCACAGGTTCCAATATTGGTCACGATTAACGCAAAACATTCGATAGAGGTGCTTTCCACCTCCGAGCAACAATATTGCTGAGATTAATCTGTAAGCCGCTCCGCTTAATCTATAGAGAAAATGGCGTAATCAAGTTAGCAGGCCACAAAGCTAAACATTGGTTGCAGAAGAACACTAGTTCCAAAAAACAAGATGCAAAGCATTCGAAGGCTAACTGTTGTTTCCGGATTTGGCTGCTGATTCAGGCCAGTGGAGTCACGAGTAAGCTAATTAATACCGTTTGTCGTTTTGCTCCAAAATGAACCACTTTAGTCCACTTAGAGGTGTGTAAATAAGACTGGAGGTAAAAAAGCGAAGGTGGCTCTGAAAGCTGCAGCACTCAATAACGGTAAATGTTACCTACCAAATATGGTAGGGATGAGCAAATTCATGGGGACATCGGACAGGCTGTTGACCTAGACCAAGGTGGAACTTACAGAATCGGGGCAAAATATAAAACTGACTGGACGCTTGTAGGTGGTGGCTTTTATCAGGTCCCTCTCTCATCTACCCTTTCTCGTGTTTCCACTTAAGGGCTTTGGCTGTACGACACTGAAGCGACATCAGTGTCAACACTGACGCTGCTGTGTCTGATGGTGATAACGGAGACAGCGTGGTTAGACCATCAGAATCCAATGTCAGAAAGGTGCGCAGCGATATGCTCTATAAGTAGGATTATCTTCGATTTCAGTGGTTTTTATGTTCCGTATTCTCACCGCCAAGCCTTGCATTCTTCTCATAGTTCTAGCCTAGTTTTGTTTATATGAAGTCGGAACTTGTGCCTTCAATAAGGATTCGAAATCTAAATTTTAAATGGATGGCAAAAAAGGATAATTTGGTCACATGTGTCGGCGTGGACGCAAAGTATTGCCTGACCTAATTCGCGTAATTAACAAACAGAGTCCCTCACCTGTTGTGTCGCTTCGAAGGTTGAAGGAATGCCAGTCTGTGGCTGTGGTGTATGGTGATACAAAAATCTGGATTATGGTCAAATGTAGGAAGACGAAGATGGGGTTGTTTTAAACAGTTCAAATAGTTTGTCCACTCCGCAGTTCCCTTCCCAGTTCTTCTTATGTAGATATTACTCTTGTAAATCGTCTAAGAAAGATCTCGTTACAGTGATGCTCACACAGCGCTGGGTTTACACCCTGGGATACAGCACAGCAATCCTTACAGCAGAGGTCACTCCACTGCACGACTGTTGTTACCCCACTCATAGAAGCTTGATGTATCGTATACTACTTCCGTTAAACAGTAGGCAAGATTATTTGTTGCTTGTACCGAGGCAAAGACAGCATGACCAATAGAGACGTGAAGTCCCAGTCCATGATCTGTCACGTTGGCTGTGGTTGATGCGTAGCTGCACATCAGTTTTGTTGCACATTAACGAACTATGCAACTACAGTCTTTTGCCGCGCTGCAGTTGAATGTTCATTTACTTCCCTTGATGGGTTCACCATACAAACAGGCATTTTCAACACTTGCTACATTAACATCCACAAAAACAGGTTTAAAAGCATCCAACGACTGAAGCCGCTCCCCTAAGATAAACGGACCGCATTCGTCCAACACAATGATATGACACAGGAAGTGAATTAATAACTTGGAAACCAGAGCGACAATAGTTGCTATCTTATTCGATGTGTTGCGCAATAAAGTAGATGTCTACAGATATCGGTGCATTCACCGAGCCTCCTAGGGCGCTTGTTGTCATTATTTTGGTCATAATAACAGTCGTCCTGGACCATTGAATCTAACTTGGGAGTTACACAAGCAAGAGATGGATGAAAAATTTGAGAAAACGTCGTTTTTATGTACTCGATGGGATGAGGTTCTGACTTACGGTTCGCAAAGTTGCAGCAGCCTCCATAAAAAAGAGAATTTTAAGTAAAAAAACGGAATTTGATCAGGAATTATGATGGGAATTGTTAGAACGTAAGAAATGGAGCTCAGGGACACGCAGTATGTAAGAAAAGGTAACCTTTCGTTTTTCGAACATGTCTTGTGTCAACTGAACTACCGAGTTCATTCATCTTGTATCATGCTTACATCCCCATAATTCACGACCGATTTGGCACCCCTCTAGCTGCCGAATTAGTAGGTGATATCTATCAGTGCCAACCGTGAGCATATTATATGACCTCTAAAGCCGGCCGAAGCAGCAAAGTCTCCGTTTTAGATATTAATGTCACCTGTCGATGAGTATGTTGATGGAAGTGGACCGAACGTTGGTATCGTCCCCTTTTCCCATCTACAATATGACCGGCTCTTAGTCAGATACCAATCTGGACAGATGAAACGAAATTACTCTGTATCAATTTGTCTAAGAACAACAGATACTTATCAAGTTAAGTTATTACGACATACTCGTCATTTTTTATCCCACACAATGTCCTAATATCTCCTATGGATGAACTACGAATCCCGTATATTTTCCATGAACAGAGGTTTACCAGGTAGGCAGATATTAGCACCAGAAAAAAATCTTTCAAACTACGCTTCCAGGTAGTGCGGCCATTCTTTCTGGGTTATGTTTTAAGGTTATGTCCCAGCAGTGAAAAGTCCTCAGAAAGTCGACATAGGTTCTCAATACTGAGGATCCTCACTATCGGTCAGAATAACATGACCTAGTATCACACTATCCACGGTTTTCCAAAATTTCCCACACAGTCGGGATCCTGTACGGATAACTAGTTGGTGACAGTGGTTTGCAATTTTATTCCGTTCATCTAAAATTGATATAGGGATGGTCCTGCATCTGAATAAAAACAACTGAATAAACTTAGATTATTGGCATTAGTATAAGATGAACTTGCGTTTTTCTGTAGTCACTTGGCTCAGAAAGCAGCAGTTAGAAATAAGTTCTCTTGAAGATCTAACTAAAACCCGCCACAACAAAGTCGCAACGCAGACACCGAAAGATCCACCTCCCCTACTGTAGCCCTGATGTATCTATGAACCCAATCAATGTTGACTGATTACCGTCTGATATGAACGAATAAACTAGATCACCGCATGACATCTCATGATAGCCAAATGAGAACTTTCTGCAAACAACGGAAGCCCTAAAATTAATAATAAATGTTTCCAGACAAATGCATTCGGTCCATTCGAAACAAGTAAACATTTTACTTACATGAAATCAGAATCGAAAAGAAACATCATGTACAACTGCAATCCTGAATTTTTGACAGGACAATTCCATTTCGTTTTCTGTTGATGCCTCGGTTTATCTACTTTTAGTGGTCACTCACATTTTTTTCTACTCAAATAACTCACCCATTCTGTCTTTGCCGAGATTTTACCCACAAAGCATTGCGATATTGCTCATTGTGTGCTGCTGATTACTGGTTTCTCCAGAGTCAACAGAGACGTGACATATCCTCTATTTCAGCTATTGGAAACTGTCAATCCTCATCAGAATGAGAACAGATTAATTTCTTGACGGCCAGCTGAGTTCATCTGACAATAGTGATTGTAGATTATTTAATCAAATCTAATTAAATTTTCAACAAACAAGACAATTTTTACAGTGATGTGTCCATGTCAAATATTGGGGTGAAATAATACACAATTCTTTCCATAATCGGAATTTTACAGGACAGCATTCTTTTTGTTTTCGGTCTGGGTAAAATACACAAATCCAAATCTGGATAGTTAGGAGTTCGCGCGTGGACAGTACCGCAGATTTCCCTGCACATCCCAGCTTCCCGGTCAGATGGCAGCACAGTCATAAGGAATGTCAAAAGGCTATCGCCACGTTTTTCGAAAGTATTCAGATAACTCTGTACCTATACTAAGCCTCTTATTTTCGTGTTTCTCAGCTAAACAGTGACAACAAGCAGTGACCGACAATCGTACCTTTTAAAAGGAATGCTGGCACTCGGTGTCACGTTCAGTTTTGCTGGCTCTGGTACGGGAAATTAGCACCTAAAGAATCTACCTGGCACTCATATCCGTTTTGCGGTTCTGGATATGGTCCAGTTTATTTCATTTTTTAGAACATACCTATAAAGTTGGCACAGTTTGACTACTTGATGTCGTCTGATTGGGATAAGATCACGGATAAGCAGTGTCAGGTTTGTTAGGCTGAATGGATATCTACGCTCGGAGTGAGTGTACCCTTCAAAGGTTGTCTAGCAAAAAGAACGAGCTTCCAAACTTAAAAAAAGACGAACACTCCGACCTTATCTTGGAATTACTGAATGCAAACATGTAAGATACTGTTTGGCGCTTACGCACTATTCTCACTTGGATTAGCTGATGAATGACACGACGGTCAACCGGAAATTTTATCAGCAAAACATCTGACGCAACTCGAGGAATACAAATAAATTTTTGCTTCGTATTGGACGTTTGATGTGAAATGGAAAATTTCATAGATGCCGAAATTATGGGTTCATGTATGCATACTGTGGACGGAAAATTAGGCGTCCAGCTGCCTCCCGCATTACTTCAATTTACATAGAATACACTTTTTGTGTCTGGCTATTTCTGACTGCTTCTTGTAGGGCGAGGACCAGGCAGCCGGAAGGTTTGTTCCCAACTCTAGGCCCCTTTCATAAAAAGGCACTAACTGGTTTAAGCCTGTGTGCAACTACTTCCGACGGCATAACCAATGAGAAATTTACAGTTTACACTCTGCCCATCGACCTGAAGTATATACTTCCACTTTCTCTCGTTCGTGAGATATTAGATACTCCGTTCAGTGGCAGAGGTTTTGTATCTTTCAAACCTTTTTAAGAGCTAATGCGGATAACGTTACTGTCAACGAGACTTTTACATGACTGATTGAATAAGTGACAGATATCGTCTTGAAGGAAACTGCTCGCAAGTTTGCTGGAAACTTTTCCGTAGTGCACGACAGGTTTAGCCGTTTCGATTCGGACTGATTGGGCAGGCGCAGTCCCCGAGTTTCCGTTAACTTTATGTTCCAACTGAATCCGTGTTCTACGAAATTAGCGAAGTGGTCTCATTCGCACATCAACTTGGTCCTAACGATCCGAAGTTATATATCCAACATGTTTCAGTCAATCATCAGAATTTGTTTTATAAACAGATGATACTTTCAACATGGACCTGCAAATGCGATTGTCAAAACCACTGAAAGCTCCGCGGGCTTAACAAGTAAATAACCACCCTTAGATTTACCAATATCTGGCCTTAAACCAACTTTTCTGCACTCTAATCAACAATCTGACATCGTCCCACTACGTCGAATATTTATGGAACATTAAGAGAGCGATATATCCTGCTTTTTCTTCCATGTAATAAAAAACTGGAAACAATTTTGATAAACCACCAATCGATTTCGTGCAGGTTTCAACTTTAATGGAACCTCTTACGTGTGGAATCAGTGTATGAATCACAGTAACACTTATAGTCCAGTCAAAATACACTCTAATGTCTCTCCGTATAAACTGGGTCTATAACACTAGTTGGAACATTTGAAAGTTTAGGCAAAGTTAATCATCCACTTGTGCGGCCTGAAAAATGTCTGTTTCACTAATTTCAGATTTCTTCATATTCAGGCTTTCAGCCCAGTAACTCAATAGTGCCAGCGTATGTGGAACAATTTTCCATACACTCTAAGAGAAAAAAGTGCAGCTTTTGTTTTACGGATAGAGCTTTGTACACATTACGCATGTTTAGTGCAGTGCTCACGCATAAATTAGTTAACCTGCCTGAATGGACATGGGTGTGCTTCTTCGTGAGAATACAGCATTCTCTCCGTTTGTCTCATGTGTGAGTGGTTTACGGACATTCGTGTTAGCTGCGAATTCACAACTTGCCTAGAAATTCTGCTTTTGAAGAGCGTATTTCAATCCTGGAAACAGCATAGACAAAAATGAGACTTTTAATAATGGAGGTAGTGAGGGGCAAACTGGTCTTGGGCTGTAGAAAATTTTTCAGCTACCTTGTGAGTAATTTTCGGTATGAAAGTATACTGTGATATTTCGAATATCGTGCCAAATGAAAGCTGAGTCGACCTTTGTGCAATACACTCAGTTGGGGAATATCATATCCAGCTGAGTGTATCTGTCAAAAATAGTTCACTTTCACACCAAAATGTCTGCTGTGTTCATCATAGGTAAGTAGAACTAGTCCCTAGATTCCAATGCACGTAGCAGAACATCCCTCTTACGACAGGGTTTGTGAAACGTTACCTACGTATGAATACTTACTTCATTCTTGAGTTTTTTCCTAGAGTTAAATTATATTTCAATGTTATTCAAATTCATCCTCTAGTGTTAGTGGCGAAACGGTGGTGACAACTTTTACACGGGTCTTGCTATCAGAAAGGAACGGACTCCTACCTGGAACGGTCATAGCAAGAGGTTTGAGAGATACTAAATTGAACCATTATGAAGTGGTGCTCACTAAGGAGAGCTCACTGAAAGGGTTCCCCTTTGGCGTAGACTCACCAGAATGATTACGCCAGAACGGGAACTCGACCGTTCAAACGAGCAGGGTTTCCCTTTGGTGTAGACTCACCAGAATGATTACACCAGAACGGGAACTCGACCGTTCAAACGAGAGTGGTGTGGCTATGAACAAACACACTTATCCCGCAAAACCCCAAAATTGCAATCTTGACAAAGTTATCTGGCCATGACTTTTGTGTCTCAGCGGCATATGGTGTGGATGCGGTCGGCAAATTCCTTCCACTGCCTTCTTTATAGCCTCATGTTTAATAAGATGCTATTTTTCTAAGCTTGAAAATGAAAGGCTTGAAACGAATTTCTAGCTCTGGTACATCGTGTTCCACACTTCTGTAATGCTACTTCGAATGAATTTTTCGCAATTAGGTTGTCTTATAGCTAAATTTACTGGTAACTTCCATGTTGGGCAGCTATGCTATTCGTAGAGAATCGATTTTGATTTGGAAGTCCCAAGTTGAGTGTTGCTTCAGAAGTTCCATTTATTTTTGTTTTTATGTCAACTTATGAATACATCCACCGACAAAGCCCAGTTCAACCGTTTCAATGAGAAATTTCTATTCAGGGGTAATGTTGCATACCAATGAACCGATTTATTTCTCGAGATTATGTGATTCGATTTGTAAATTAGTCTGATGAAAATGCACATAAATCACAAGAAACCTGATAGGTAAATCGTTTGCAATATTTGCCGTGCAGGATTTCTGCCAAAAATATTTCTGCTCAGCTTAATTCATTATGGTTTGCTCATTTTTAGTTCTATCTCAATGCATGCAGCTTTTTTTCTAGCAGATGCAGTTTTGTAGGATTTATCTAGCGCTTGACTTTCGAACTAAGGGACCTGAAATTTTAGTAACACGACTGCCTGAAATTCATAATTCTGGAATATGGAAGCTAGATTGGAATCTGCGGCGCACTTTTAGATCCGAAAATTTAAAAAGGTGCGCAGTTTGTTTCACTCAGTGAAGGTTATCAATTCTATTCCGGTTTAAATTACAGGATTGGTAAGGGCGTCAGTATCACCCATCGAGCATATCTAGCTTTAAATCACTACTCAACACCCAAAAGACCCTCCTCTAGAATTTCGTACCCCTTCGGCTAAATTGAAACACATTAGTTTACTAACTTATCAACTTATTTCAACCTTTTCCAACCCGATGCAATGGCAGCTCCCTCGGTGTTGACATTGTACACACAGAAACTCGTCCCTCAAACGCGACTGAGAGTGTTGGGCATATTTACCAAGGTTGGGTTGATTGTTTTAGCTGGCTTTCCAGCTGTTTGCTCAGGTGCCTGTGTGTTCTTTCCGTACTGTTGGCATAGCGATTCTACTGTTTACACTCCACAAACAGAAACAGAAAAACAGAAGTTAAAAAATTAAATGGAATTTGCGGGACCCTCAAAACAAGACTAGCAACATTTGTCTCGGCTCTGAGGAAAGATGTAACGTGAGTTGCCCAATTAGTTTATAGCTTCTGTTCTTTTTTAAACTGCAAAGCCTGAACACGTTACTAATGTATTGTATGATACGAGGTTAGGCTTAAGGATACAAGCAAACTGCTCCGGGTCACTCCTCTCATGCGAAACAGGCGGGCGTTGGATAGTTGTAGGCAGAACCGCCAAATTCCTGATGGTCATAGAGCTCAGACAGCCAATTCTAGATGTGAACACGTGCACATGCATACAATGAACTGTGTCGGTTGTATTAATTGCACAATAACCCTCCCTATCAGAAGCCTAGTTTGTTCGTTCTGTACACAATATTAATTATCCATCTCCATTATATGGTGAGCAAATAACTTAGGCTGACTCATAGAAGCTCTCATTGAACATATGTACTCATTCATTTCTGCGTGCTTCCGGTAGTCTGGTTGCGTGGATCAGACATGTGGAAAAATGTATCTAAAAAACAATGGTGAGCGATATCCCCACCTTCCCATACTAAGCTGAATAGAATCACGCAAGCAGAACTGTTGGTAAGGATTACGACCACACCAGACAATGGAACGCCAAGCAAGAGCTGGATAGAATCATTGATAATGTGATGAATAGTTGGTCGAGACAGCTAAACAGCAATGGAGAGTTTGGATGAATTTGTAAGTTTGTTAAGTCTTATTTGAGGAAACATACAAAAACCAGGGACTTTGCGAAAATCAGGCCGATAATTTAGGAGGGCTGAAGTAGCTTTTAACCTACTACTTTGGTCACAAAACCGGTTGATAAAGGCGAAGCTTTACAAATAATGGTTGCTTTGAAGCCACTAAAGAAATCAGGATACAGGGGATCGCATTATTGCCTTTCACAACTGTGAACAATTGTCCATTCAAATTTACAGAACGTTACAATGATCGGCCCACCAACCCTTCCGTGAACTATCCCTTCTCCAGTGTGATTTAATAACTGCGTAACATTCGAGAAATAGTATGTTACACTTACGATTCTTCCAAAACATGAACACACCTGCACTTTGTTTGAAAATGCCTTGTTTCTCAGGAGCCAGCACAGGGTAGTCGCACAGGATTTCCATCCCCAAAGACAAAGTTTAGACAGCTTGATTTTTTTAAAGTTGATACCGAAAAAAAACTTGAGAGTGATGTCTGGCGAGCAAATAGCCTCCTCTCCAATACTGTCTAATTTCGACCCTATTGAAACCACCCAAACGTAACCAAAATCAGTGAATGCCTACTTCTCCGAGCAACTTCCTTGGGACATGATCTCGGTTAAAGACCAGGAAAGTATTTATGCTGTGTGTAATAATAAGACAAAAGCTGGTTTTTATGAGAGGTGTGAGCGACATCTAGATCAAAATTAAGGAATAATCAAATGAAAGTATTTTTTAATCTATGCTGCGATGTCTCGAATATCGCTCTAGGGGGAACCTGAGATGAACTTTGCACAGTACATTTAGTTAAAGAATATGCCAAATGAGAGTCCCAGCTAGGATTTATCGAGTCTTCCGTTGAAACCAAACTGATAGACGAATGGTAGTTCGCAAATTTCATACAATATGGGTTCAAGTTGGTCGTTAGTTTGACGGAAGCTCGCAAACTTCGCCCACCTGATAGGTCTCAAGATGGATGTAACCTCTCGTGGGCTGTCAAGAAATTCTCAGAAACCTTATAAATCGTGCTTCTCTAAGAAAACTATTCTCCTTTTTTAATTAGGCGATGTCTTCCGCTGTACTTTTAGGCAACCATGACCGTATTCAAAACCTACACTAGATAAATTTACCTCTCATCCACTTAAATTCACAAGACTAGAAACCTTCCGATAGCTTCCAACAACCGTTCAGGGCACGTGCAATGATCATATACTTCGCGGCATGATACCGTTGATTTATTATTTTGTATCAGTCAAATTCATATGATCAAATAGAAGAATCAAATAGAACATTTGACGGGTTAAACAACTAGTGGTGGCTTGCCTACTAAGATTTCGGAATTGCCGTCCTTATTTAATACAACAGACTCGGCGATGCTTAGATTTTAATAGCAACGACGAACGGTTGCGCTAACATACCGACCCGGGCACTAGACACAATTTCAGGTTATAAAAGACTACCTCAAACTTATTTCATTCCGCAACTACTTTTTCTTAATGAAATCCAAGCATCTGAATGCGAGCATGTATGTTTTGTAATTGTCTGTTTTATGCGCGTTCGAGTGCTTTTATCTTATTTGGTTGTTCCAGCATAATCAACTGAGATTTCGTCCCGTCGGAGAACCCAGTTTATACTAAGCATCCGGGACGCGCTGTACAGTTATTCTATCCTTATTGAGAAACATCATCAGTGTTCATTTCACGCTACCAAGAGAGTTTCGAATACGCGGCCGTCCGGCCACCGGATGAAGACTTAACCGCTCGGGGGGGCGAAACTCAAGAAATTGATCGCTAGTTTTTGGAAAGCCCAGACACATTTGGATTCAGGTTCGTTTGCTTTGGACGAAAATTCGGTTGATCACTTCCGCAGAAAACATTGTTTTCACGGAAAAGGTAGACAAAAAATTAATTTTACTCGTATGGAATTCCAGTCACTTCACCACGCGATTAATTTTTTTGCACTATGGGGAATACGGAATCGTTCGTCTGTGCATTGCGACCAGACTGATAGTGGAAACGGCAACTAACCCACAAACCAATTGAATATTCACATTTATTATTTTGAGCCTAAATGGAGGGGACGAAATCGATGATATGGGGAAACACCAAATAGAGTAAGTTTCATAGGAGCAGTCTGGAAAGGAAAAGTAACTACAAGACGTTGTGAATGAGTAAAAAACAAATACTGAAAAGGCACACAAGATTCACATACATGACGTGGTCAAAACCTAGAGAGTAATCACCCTGAATGCAATTCATGAATCCCCGTTGTTGTTTTAACACAATCGGCTACAGTCACTTTATGTAAGTTCTCTCCGGTGATTAGTGATCTTCGAATAACACTCTACGATTGGAGTTCTTCGAACAGGTACATGAGACGCTCTACGCCGAAAAATCACAAGTAATTTCGATAACATGGGTTGAAATGTTTCCACACACATTCTTACAAAGCAAGCATATCCAATCGCGCCATTTTTGTTAATTGGCTG